TATATACGCATATGTGCCTGCGCGCGCGTGTGTGTTATGTAGCAATATATAATATATACAGTGATTGAGAACAACATAAACTTACGCGACGGATAAGATAAGCATCACCCACCCGGCGTGCATCGACGGCAATTCTGTCTGTTTGTTTGGCACTGTCCGCTCTCGCGCCGAGAAGAAGGTCCCTTTATCAAAATTCTTTCCCCCGCACGTTTAACATTCACGTAGCTCTATGTACACTAAGAAGTCCGCTTAAAGATCCTTCAGCTCTCTTCCTTGGATACAAACTATCACCTCCGTCGCGCGAACGCGAGGATCCGTCTGCTCGAGGAAACAGATATTTTTCCTTCAGTGTCATATCTGTCGTTCCGCGAATAGGAATTTCACATTTCGGTGACACTCACCACAGGTCGAGATAAAACTTGCGGAAAAAGGTGCGATTACAGCGGGGCCGACCGTCGCGAAGGTGCGCTGCAACCGAAGATAGGCCGGCATCATTGCGGCATCATCTTGCAACTGGGCTCCATACTGTCGGAGGGTACGCGCATGCTGCCATTTGTGATATAACCATTAGCATCGACCATTACGGATACGCCGGATGGTGGGTGATTATGGTAGCTAATGTTTCTTTGCGACACCACCATGCTTTTCTCCGGTACTACGTGATCGTTGCTGCCGCCGTGGGAGGAGAGGCAGGGTTCGCTCCCACGGCTGCTGGACGACTCGATCGGGTGATCCACGCGTATGGGTATGGTATAGTCGGAGATGTATTCCGAACTGACTTCTACAGTCGCGTATTCGCGAATGACGGATGACTTAGATGGATAATCTAGCGACATATGCTGAATCGATGAGGCCGACCTGATCTCGTTCGGATCGTTCAGCGTAGCGACGTGTCCATTCGCCATGGCGTACAGATCAGGCTCTGCGCGGCCCTTCATCGACAGCATGGATTCCAAGCACTGGTACAGCAACACGTAATCCTCCTACGGCGGAAGAAATAAATTTATGAAGGTTAATTTTCCCTTTTAAATTATACTCCGTTGTGCTTAACTTTCTAGACTCGGATCAACATTGTATCTTCAGAATTTACCTTTGAGTGGAAAACACCAGGTCGCTTCATATAAAGTAACTTTGCGAACATGTAGATGTCGGCGCTTTGCTCGAACTCCAGTTGTTTGTTTAAGGTGGTCAACAAAACGAAAAGCGCAGCTTCGACTCCGCCATACCTAAAATAAATAATAATATGAAATATATATTCGTTTAAAAGTAATAAACTATCGTAAATTAACGAAAAACGAGATTTTAAGCGCACCTGTCCATCACGACGATAGGACCATTCTGATAATCCCGATGAAAGTCCTGGATTATATTAACAAAAGTTTTCGGATTGTTGTTGTGCGGCCACAGACCATTCTGGTTTGCTGGCGCTTGAACGATTCTAGCGCTAAGCTCATAATCATCTTGCAACGACCGAACTGCAACTTCGAGTAGAATAGTTCCGTTTACAGTCTCTTTCGTTCCGCAGAGTCGCACTCGGAACGTTTCGGATTCCAGATCCTTTCCTTCGATGGGCCAAAACTCCGGATATTCCTGTTAAATAACGCTCGCGTTAAAATAATTGCCCTATTGTTCTCGCTTCTTGAATAATTATTAATGATATTATTCAAAGCACACCTCGTCGCATTGAGTCAGCATGACAATGGTCTGCGCATTGTGGTCCCACATCATTTGCCAGAACTCCATTATAGTGTTTTCCATCGGATGCTGCGTTATGATAAATTCACGATTGCGCTGGAAACCTAAAAATAACGCATTGTTATTTGCGGTGAGAAATTAGATTGTATTGTAGGTAAGCGCAGTTAATGTAGATATAATATTGTGTTTACCTGAAACCCAGGTTGCATTTATGTAATCGCTTCCGTCGACGCCGGGTTTCGGCGTCAGATGAACGCGCGAGTTTTCAATAGGAATAATATCCATGTTACGATTCTTGTGAATGTTGCAAGCTTTGGTAGCGGACACAAGGTTGAAGTCCTTAGGTTTCCATGACGTTACCAACTAAGAATAAAAAACAAAATTAATTATTGATTTAGTGAATAATTTCTTGAATTGGGCAAAGAATAAAACTGATAATTTAATAGTTGATTTGACAATGCAGTCTCAAAGATAAATCAGTCACCTTATATTGAGCTTCGATGTTGTTCCACGCATCAGTCTTGTTATTCGATGGGCACAGCATGTCTTGAACGTGCTGCATTAAATTATTAGAGTCGATATTGGTCTCCCCGCTTTCGATTGCCTCTTGCAGAGCATCGTGAATGAAAATGTACTGCTCTTCCGTCTGAACCAAGAAGTTCCTCTGGGTGCGGATGTGCTTGAGGAAACCGAATACATTAATCTCGTTCTTGGCCTTAGCTTGTTTCAGCATGGCGTCGATTACAATGTATGTTCCGGTACGTCCGACGCCGGCACTGAAACACATTAGACAGACGGGAGATGAAATTAGGAATTATTTATCAATCAAAAGTGTCTATTCACTTTTAATTGTGCATCATCGCTGCTTTATGAATTGAAAAGCGCTTGAAAATGAGTGAATTTGTTAAGATGGGATTATATGCTGCGTCGTTACCTGCAGTGGACCACGATGGGCCCAGCGTCGGGCGGATTAGCATTGGACGATTTACGGATAAAGCTCAGAACGGGTAATGGGTGATCGGGCACGCCGTGGTCAGGCCAGCCGGTATAGTGATACTGCCATATAGTACGTTCACCCACATTGGTCCCATTTTTCTTTTTCTTGATCTGCTTAAAAATGCAAAAAGATTTCTCGTTGGCGAAAATTAGCCTCAACTTTTCACATTCGTATGTTTCCATTCTCTTGTTAGCATCGCAAAAAGTATTTTATTTCTAAATGAATACCTTTAAATGTCGAATTTGGAGAGTACGGATGGTGTACGTCGCCATAATGTCCTCTCTCACTAAAGTTACCTGAATATAACCGTACGTTTCGGTACCTTCCTTGGGCCAGTACATATCACATTTCCTCTATAAATAATTATAATTAATTAACCAACAAAATTTGACCAGTTATGGCATCAAACCGGAAACTCTCATGTCACTTTATCATGTCACGTAATTTCTGTATGTCGTGAAAAGCAGGGCACTTAAATTTCATACTTACACGACCGCGTTCGACCAGATTGGTGATCATTACGACTATTGATACACGCTGCTCCCAAACCATCCGCCAGAAGCCATCGAAAGTTGGAGGAAGCGGACCCTGAGTACCGATATAAGCTCGCGCCCTTTGCCAACCATCGATGTAATTCGCATTAACGTAATCCTGCCCCTTTCGCGGAGGTCCGCCGCCGCAGGACAATAATTGTACACGCGTATGGTCGTCTAACGATAATAATAAAGTAAAAATAGAATTGAGCTATTTTTAACGAAATAAAGTTGAAGCTTACATTATATTTCATTAAAATTATAATCTTTATAATTAGTTGTTTTCAGTTTGTTGTCGATCTAAAAATATAAATTTTTATCGCACTTATCAGTCTTGAGCGGTGAAGAAATCAACGTATGATTCAAGCCGAGATACGCATTTCCGAGGTTCGTATGTCGTTTCAATATGACGGAAGAAGATGTAGCAATAATTCCTTCCCGCGCATGATAAAATTAGAAGAACCGTATTTTCCGCATTAAAAAAAAGTTCACAACTGCGCACGATATTGCACGACACTCTCGATTACTCATTAAATCAATTAATTCAGTTATTCCGTAGTGCGCGATAAGCTTGTTTCAGTTTTCTTTTTCGCCGACGGAATCGATAACGAGGTGTCGTAATTTCAGTCAGATGGAATAAATGAAGGGGTCAACAACTGAAGGCCAGCTGAACTAAAATAAATCGAGCGCAACGAGCGGCGAATATCAAGATGGTAAATACAAGTATCTTATAGAAATGAATACGTCGTCGCGGGAATAGAGAACTAAAGCATTACCGATTCTATATTAAGATGTTTCCTTTCATTTGTAAATATTACGACAGCGCGCGACGGACTATATGTCAAAGGCTACTTACATGCGAGTATATTCAGGTATCTGTTCTTGGCCTTATTCTCGGCGAACTGTGAATTCTCCACGGTGTAGTCGCCGGTTTCGGACTGTATCAGCTCGTATTCTTTGCTGAAACCGATGTCCCCGTCGGCGTGTAGGCTCGCGACATGTTGAACGAATTGTTGGACGGCGACGGCGGTCCGCTCGCCGTCTTGCTCGCTGTTCTCCCATTCTTGAAGAGTTGGAACATTTCGCGGCGGATAATCCAGATAGTAGTAGGCAGTGTTGAAGCATTTCCTAAAGATCGGTCTGGAAAAACAAGAGATGCGCAATTCAGAAATTCTCTTCTCCTTTTCTCCAGATCTGTAGAGAATTTCTGTTTCTTTTTCTATACAATTTTTCAGTCCGCAATAATAAACCGTATGCATTTCAAACAATCTGAAATTATTCGAGTGTGTTTCGCGCTGCAAAGTTTGCAGTATCAACGATAAACACGATGTGTGATGAATTGGAAAGGGAAAACCCCGACAGAGACGATCAAATATTGATACACTAAAATCCACGCCGTATGATAACGTATTCCATCGCGCACGCTTCTCGAGCGCACGATTCCTCGCGGGCTCCCCGAACTTACAAGTTGCGAAAGAACTTCTTCATTTCGTCAGCATAATCTCGACGATAGCGTCCATCATAGGCGAGGTCTCGATCGCCGGGATCTCACGAATCAACGAACGCGCATGCAGAATAAACAACGAGCAAGCCGGACTTCGTCCGTGACCCAGAAAATGAGCTTGTCATCAGCCGCGGTCGATTCTTCGCGCATCGCTCGTGTTTTCGTCGTTCTTGAACGTCACCCGAGATACTGACGAGCGAAAAGAACGATTACTCACGGTCTCGCGTACTCGTACGGCGCACACACGTTCTCGCTCACGGCGCGCGAGCGAGTCTCCCCGTTCAGTGCGTGCCGCGTAGCGTCACGTTGCGTCGTCGCCTCGTTCCGCTCCGCGCACCGCGCGCGGAGAGTTGCTCCGGTGACTGTAAGACCATACTTAGCCCTTGTCATCGCTCGTTATCTCGCATGATAACGCGGGACATAAGAGCGCGAGCGTTGCGATATATTAAGGTACGCGTATCGTCGCGCGTTCACACACGTAGAGTGCCACGTAAATTGTGTCAGATAAATTCAATGGCATCATCGGAGTGTGATTGAACGGCACCGTTTAACGATTCGCGAAATAATAATCGCCGGTTCAAAAAAAAATTCAAACTGCTGTAAAAATGATACGAGCTGTTTTAACAAATACACTCAAATAATCCCTTGAGCGCGTTGCATTTTGATGAATTGCATAAATGACTTCATAGGTTTATAAAAATCAAATTTTTTATATTTCCTATTAATTGGTTTTAAACATATTCTCTGCAATTTTTAGTTATCCATAAAATTAAATTCCTGGTAAAATGTATGATAAATTAAAGAAATTTGTAAGCGGAAGGAATCTATAAAGAAAATGTTCAGAAAATAAATTACAGATTGTAAATTGAGAGGAGATTATATCAAGACGATCAGGCTGCAGCAGGAAATCAGGTGGGGAAGTTTCAATAGGAAAAACGGATACGCGTGTGCGTGTGAAGGTGTGCGCGATTGCATCGTTCGTTAGGAAACTTTCTAATCGCTCACATCGTACTCAAAACGCGATTCACGATCCAGGCATGCTCGAACGTACCGATTATTCGACTTACAATTTCCAAGTAACAAAAATAATAGATTCTTTAGCGTTGAAAATCGCTTGATTAGAGCGGAAGCAAAACGTAACTTCATAGCGATGCGAAATAATATTCTGCACGATCGGCTTGCATAGTTATTACGGCGAGAGAGAGAGAGAGAGAGAGAGAGAGAGAGAGAGAGAAAGTTGATCTCTCTCAATTGTCATGTTTCAATCTGGAAAATTTTCGCCGTAATTTTAAATATTCTACATGAAACGCGATAAACGATTATCATGATAATTCTTCGGTTATCTCAATGTATTTAAGATTAGCAATTATACAGATTACTCGAATAAATGATACAAATCAAAAATTTAGATAAAAGTGGAAGGATTATTACGTAATATTCTGAATGAAGAATTCGCCGGGATTTATGTACAATCTCACGGGATTGTGCGCAGTCGCGCTCAACGCGGAAATGTCGTCTGATAATCGAGCGGCTAGAATTGCCTCCGTATAACCGCGACAACGCGCTATGCATTAAATCATGACTTACTTCCACAGCACGAAGGACATGATCGCCAGCATCACGGCGAAGCAGGCGCAGACCATCCCGGCGATCACTCCCGCGCTCAGCTCTTTGCTGCTCTTGCTACTCATCGGCGATAACTTGTCGCAATCACGGGTGACTAACACCTTCGCCGGTATGGAGCTCTCGCCTAGAATAGGCCGGCTGTCTATTGTGCTTTTGGTGGCTCCCCGCACCACAACCTCGTAAATGGTGTTCATCGTCAGATTGGGTATATGCGTCTGTAGACAGAAATTCGCAAGTGTTAAAATATTCCTTTCTTTTTCCCTAGAATTAATCTAAATTAATGCGGAATATAATAGAGAAATTCATTATTATTGACTAAAATTGGCGATAAAGGAGAAAGTAGTAGAGCAGAATACGCAATTAGTGGTTAATTATATAATAGCAATTACTAAATTAATTATCTAATTATCATAGCATACAATAAATTGTTATTACCGCTAAAATTTAGTTATTAGCAAGAATGTAGAAAATATATGTGTATATACCGAGCTCTCGAGATGATTCTTCTCAGCTGGTAGCTCCACTTCCTCGTAAGTCCTTCCATTTTCCTTTCGATAGTGGATGTAATAGTAATCGATCGACTCGGAAAAGGTGGCCGGCCTGGCCCAGTGAACGTAGACCGATTCGTCGGAATGGCAAGTTAAATTCAAGATCAGAGGTGCACTCGGTCCTACTATGTCGGTCCTGCGGATGATTTGATCCGAGGGCTCGCCCTCGTTCTTCCGCGTGTAAGCCTTCACCCAAATCTTATATTCGGTGTGCGGTTCTACAGCACAATGACAAGCGGCGAAGGTTATGAATAATAATCGAGCGAATAAAGTTTCATGAGTAAAATTCGTGCGACTATTCTTTTTCTATAGCGACAAAGTACATCTCGTTGGATTTTATCGAGGTTTTCTCTCGAAAAAGTAATTAGTTATTTATCCGTAATTAAAATCCTAAAGTTATCTAACAATGCATTTGTTTGAGCAATGGGCGCGTGTGAAGGAAGAACATGTGCAGCGATAAAAATTCTTCAAGCTTTCCTTATCAGCGAGTTAAGTACACCGACCTATCTACACTCGTCTACTGTAACGACCATTCGTAGCCGACGAGAGGCTACATGCTTAATCTCGTGTTATCTCGCGTTAGAAAAGGCACAAAAACTTAGAGAATAGAGCGCGGGTCGACTGGAGTTGATCGTTCCGCTCTGTTATACGTTGAGACAAAAAGATAAATTCAGCGAAACTTGCACAACTGACTTTAACGATCTTATTCGCGCACAATTTCGTTTACACATTGTTATTTCGCACGTTTCGCATACTCACGCAATTCTTTCAGGACGAAATCGATGTTCGGGTCGTAGGAGTCCGCCGATTTGTCGGGCAGATGCATTTTCACGTCCGTATAATTGGAATGCATATAGTAAACGCGATATCCGGCGATAACACCGTTGGCGTTCTCAGGCTCCGCCCACGAGAGTTCGATGGTGGTGCCCGTGATTCCTCGTGAGGTGAGATTCTCCGGCTTCGTCGGAGCTGCAAATAAACACGCGTTTCTCATTAGGACGAGACGCATCGATCTCTCCTCAATCGCTCGCGATATCGCGTCAAAGCGCGCAACGCGCGCATGTCGCGTGAGCGGTGAAACTTTTCACTAAAATTTCTATCTCATTCTTTTATTCGAGCTGGAGATTCTTTTTAGGCAAAATATCTTTTTCACACGGTGAATATCATTAACACAAGCATAAAGGGATAGACCCGGCGTGTGATATACATTTCTATGGTTGCACCGGGCATAATGCAGCGAGAGTGCGAGACCTCTTCCCATCCTTTCCTACGCGCCGCGCAGATAAGAGAGAAACATGACCCGATGTTTGGAGCACGCATGCAATACACAGCCGATGCTAAGTCTATCCGCGCATATCTATGATTATCCAATTGTTCTTTTGGGCAGCGGATACCTGACCCTCTGCATTTCCATTTTTCTAAAGCGAGGTAAATAGCACGGATGAATAAACGGCCGTCGAAGCGTTCATAAGAGAGATCAAATTTATTGAATATTCATATATCTGCGCTGCGACATTACCATACGCCACGCGGCGCGCGGTATAAAACATGCAAATTGATTTGCATTCTCCGGTCTCAGCTGCGTAAAATCATTGACAGTAAACTTGCTTAGACAGCTCGCTCTGACACGCTCTAAATAAACCTCAAGCGACGCGTAGTACGGAAAAACTTGGTCACGCCGAATAAAATCAAACGAGGAAATCTGTGATCGGCTAAAGTTTAAACAAATCGAGATTCTTAGTGAAAGTCAAGAAAACAAAAATTGCACAAAGGGTGTTTCGCGACTTGGCGATTATTTTACTCGCGACTATCCATCGTGCCTCGTGTTTTATCGACTTTGCTGAAACACAACGGCTGATAATTCACAGCTATTTGGCCGACCTTTAGTTTGCGTTATCGTTTGTGCCGCGCGGCACTCCGTTTCGGAGCATCGCGCGCTTATCGAGCTCGTGTTAGATTAACGACGTGTAATAAAACGCGGGACTGTCGAAGAGGACAGGAATGTCGCCTCTACACGCTTTAGAAGCTGCGACGGCGGATGATGTCATATCGAGTCCGCGCACGCACGGCAACGGCGGCCGAGCCGCACTCGTATTACTATCAGGCTGAAAATGAATACGATTATGGCCTGTGTGGCGCAAGGTCGTGATCTTGCAATCCGCCGTACGCTGCACGCAACGTAAAAAGCGAGTCGCGCCGAAACTACTCGGAATACTTATGCTTTTAATAGCATCACGTTCATCGTGGCTGTATTCTGCGCGGAATAATCGATAAATAACCTTGTCCCAAGCGAATAAGAATGAGAAGAAGCGATTTCGCGGTGAAGCGAGACTTGAACGATGCACTCTGTTTACGAGTGGGAAAGATATGAAAATAGAAATGCCAACATTGGGAGGTCGTTTTCTCCGTGAAACCCGTGAGGCCAAGGCTCGAGTAGGCGAAAGTGCCTTTTATTAGAATAGGTTCGCCGTAACGGTTCACGAGTGAAAGGAACAGTCGATACGAAACGAGGTACCTGCTTCGAGAGTCGCGCCTGCACGTTGATTTGCGCGTCATCGGCGCTGCATCCGAACTCCGATGCAATTATTTCGAATCTCTCGATTCATTCCAATCAAAAATTTCAAATAAAAAATGACTGAAAAATTTGAAAGACGGGCAATTGCAGGTCGGTGCGCGGCGCTGTTTTTCTCTTCGTAACTTTTTTTTTAAATAAAAATGTTTCAATTTATTTTAAATTATTTTTAACCTGTAATACATTATAAAAAACTCCACCCACTTTAACAGATTTATTGGGAAAAAAAATAGCTCTAGTCTGCAATCGCTTTCCTATTATTGCTTTAATACACAAGTCTATTTAATTGCCAGACAAATCATTTTTATATTCTATCGCGGAGAGATATTTTTTCAATTGACAATTTTTCAATTTCGTCTGCATGTTAATAATTTTTTTTACTTTGCAAAAATCATTTAACGATCCGCGATCATAATAATGTTTCCACTCGTCTCGATTAGATCGATCGACCTTGATCCTGTCATAAAAATAGCACGTTTGGCTCGCGCGCGAGAAGTAATGTCATTGCAAGCTGATCCTGAAGATGACTAATACGAAATAAGCATATTTCCACAATTATGCTCCGACGACATTTAAGATCAGTAGATAATTGTTGTCATGGCAACACGCGCCTTCGGCTGTACGCTGCATAACAAAATAAAAAAAAAAAAACAAATGACGTGTATCTCTTTTATGCAGGTACAAAACGCGCAAAGCACGTTGATCCTGTCAATATTTTAATCCTGTCAATATTTTATTACGCTTTTACGCGGGGAACAAAGCGATCGTTGTCGATTCATCCACAATTACGGCCGAACAAATCCCGTGTGCAACAAAAATATTGCAAAATATCGTTTTCCCGCAACAGTCAGCGCACTTGCGGCAATTACAACGGCTTGCAAAATAATCCAGCGCAACCGTTTACACTTGTGTCATAATACACGTGTGTGCATATGCATATACGTATTTATACATATACATGTGTGCTTGGTTCAAAACGTTTGCGCAATCATGGGTGTGCATTGTAGGTGAGCGCGCGGAGTTTCAGAAGAAGGTAAAACGGACCTCCGCGTCTTTTCTTCAAAGCGTCTTCGCGCGAGGACGGAACGCACGTACGTTGCACTGCCGACGCGTTCCGCGAAATCGAGACGGAACGGGAAATGAGTTAAGCGTCGATTACAAGCGACAATCTTATGCTCGCAAGGTGATTACGAAGTGGCCGCCGCGCGCGCGCGCGCTGAGTAACGCAATACTCGAGCGAGCGCGTGGCATTTCCTAGTGAAACTCACGCGTTTATTTTTGCGCTTTACCAATTAATCGAGCGTTTAAACGTCTACCAAGTAACGAGATTTTTATCTCATCGCAGCTCGTTAACCTATTTGTATATTTGAAAAATACCCTGCTTTTTTTGAAAAGAATACAAATTATTAATCTAATTTGTTTCGTTTAATAATATCAGTATTGTGTAATCTGAATAGTCAAATGTTAACAATGTTGGCAGATCGACAGCAAATTTAATCAAATTCGATCAAAGCTATTTGCCAGTAAATATGATCAAACATTTGATCAAATTTGCTGTCAATCTGTCAACATTGCTGACATTTTGCCTACTGATTAACAATGGCTAGCTTATTAAATGAAGCGCTCAGGAAACTTAAGACGGCGACAAATAGCCTGAATTTCCAGACATAATACAGATAGAGTTCATATCGCCTAATTCGTAGCTTCAAAACGCTTCCAAGTATATTGTATTTTAACAGCGGCGTGACGCGATATTGCCTTATCGAAATATATCCTCCCTTTATTTCCTCTTTCTATCATATATTTTCCTACTATTATCGGTACATATTTCTCCTCGCTATTCTTTATTATTTGCATCATTTTAAAATTATATTTCCTACTATTAATGTGTCGCTTTATCATTCGCCCTTTTCATCATCTTATCATTTTAAACGTCCCGCTTCTTCACGCAAACTCTTCGCAAGCAGTTTCGCGTCGGCCTGTTGTCTCCCGCGAATTACCTCGATAAATATCGCTGTCATTCTCCGTGGAAGACACCGGCACGATGTAGGTCGTCCGCTCGAAGAAGGTCTGCCCGTCGGTCGTCTCCGTGACCGGGTACGCAGCGGTGACGATGAGGAATCTCAGGATCAGGGCTAGCGAGGCCGCCAATTGAGCGGCACTGGCCACGCTGGCCCACGACATCTTATTATTTTCTTTTCCTTTTGTTTTCTCCTCTTACTCCGCGCACTGCGGCAGCTGCAGCTGTAAGACGCCGCGTGCTCGCGTGCGTGCGTGTGTGCGTGCGTCTCTCCTCTGATCCGCCCGCTATTTCACAAACTCGCCCATCCTCGCCGTGGAGCACGGCGCGCTCGCGCTATTTCTCTCAATTATCGCACCGTCTTCGTCGCAGCAGTCTTAAGTAGAGCGCATAACGACGCGTTGTTCACCGCTCGGTCCATTGTCACTGTCACACTGCGCACGCGGAAGTTCTCTCCAGTTATCAAGCGATGAATCAACTTTTCGGCAGCAGAATTATCGCACGCGTCACGACAGTTGGTGCGGCACTATATTCGAGAACGGTTATTTCCTGTTGGGAACGAACAATTCCGTGTGAATTCCGAGACGAGTCCATCGCGAGTGCGAATCCGGTCGTCACTCGCGAAAGATTCGAGTGAGAATCGTGGCGCTTTTTGACGGAGTGGAGCGTGCATGGAATAGCGGATGCGGAAATCGCGATATACGTATATATGTGGAGCGACAGCTCTATAAGATGAGACTCAATTATCTATCCAACCTCGAAACGGTTCTTGAAAGTTGCCGTCGATAGCGCTACGCTTTAATTCGTGTAAAAAAAAAATAATATTTGTGCGTGCACCGTTTCAGCAATTTGTAAATCGCGACAGCAGCTGCTTGAATATCACGCTTTAATGTCATAACAAAAAAGGCTTGGAAAAGAACATCGCTACACAGATACTGTAATATTGTCATTATGCTCTGACGATCGCGTCCCCAAATATCCGTCATCGATCGTACGATCACGCCACGAGGGAAGAACATAGCAGCGGATTATTCGGCCCCCTTGAAACGCTGTCGAGTGACTTCCCCCTGCATTTTTAGCGGATAGAAACTAGGGGAATATAGCACTGCGTTCGTAAACAACGACGGTGCACGATGCTGTACTGATTAATATCGACATATCGAGCCCTGTCATTCAATCTATTTGAAATAGCAGAGCAAAGTGGAGAGAGAAGTGAAAAAGTATATTTAACGTTAAAACAAGATTAAAGTTGGAAACTTTGCAAATCAATATTTGTTCGGAACAAATTGAATGTCATCCTTGTAACATCTTTATCTCCGATGTAAAATATTTTATTAATTAAATCTTACTCCCAAACTTTTTTTGTTCGAAAAACGTGCCGGAATTACAAATGAAGAATTTGTCATTCGCTCGTATTTTTAAAAGCTGACTTGTGATTGTTCATTTTCAATCTATTTTGATTAAAAAAAAAAAAAAACTGTCCAGATTTACCTTTACGAAAATTAAATTCTAATGTATATCTTCAAGATTTAAACTTTGTCAGTATCTTGTACATTTCTTCAATTTCCGATCAAGAGAACGGGAAAATCGAATTTTCGAAGCAACGCGAGAGTGACTATTCCTGATGCAGTGCGAACAATTAAATGTCAGTTGCAGCAGAAATTGAGTTAGCTTGAATGCTGGATTAAACGGATAAAGAAGCAAATTACAGGACGGCCAATAACAATGGTGTTTCCTTGACAATGGAGAGGAATAGAAAGAGAGACAGAGGTACTTCTCGTACAAAGAGGATCGCGTTCCAGTTTCATATTCCATTTACCGCCTAATTGGCACTATACCATAGATAAATAATTGCAAGAACTTGGGAATAATGACGGCGAATAGCGTGACATGTGTTATTTCACGGCAATATAAACTTTTTATTCAATGCAAAAGAATTGCACACACGCGCGATTACATTTAACGGTCCACAATTGGTCCATAAAGGAATAATGTCGTTTCGTTAAAGTTCTTTTTACGCGTTGCAAGTCTCAAATAAAAGAAGTGAATTGTATATTTTGCAGCATATTTTGCATTGTGTTCAAACGAGAACGATGATTAAAACGTAATATCTGTCCAGCTTGCGTTTAAAGTAATTCAGATTAAAATTATTGTGCTCGAAACAGCGGAATAAATGAAACGTGTTAACGTTTAAACGGTCAAATATCCGAGTGTCCCATATTTTTTACGGGAAAAGGAAAGATGCAAAAGCGGATGAGACTAATCCATGGTTCCCACGTCAATCCTATGCTCGCTCGAGTTTTTATTTCACAATGCGACAGAAGCATGAATATAATCATCCAAACGAGAGCAGCGAGACCGCGCCCCATTTCGCGACTCGTCCACGTTTCGTCGACGCGAAACGAGACAATGCATTATCGAAAATTGCGTCGGATTATTTTCTCGAGGATGAACGCTCTCCTCGCAAAGAACGCGCAAAGAAATTGACATTCGCGCTACAGAGTATTTTATTCGCGCAATCGTATCTCATTTCCGTGAAATCGGAGAAGGAGGAACGAAGGAGGATATTTGAAGGAGAGTTAAGTTTTCAAAGCACGATATTCTCTCGTCCGTTCGAAAGAAGAAGAAAGAAAGACCGAGGAGAGAAGAGAAAGACGTCGTGGGGACGCGTGTTGCGCGCGGATGCACTCGCGCGGACCGTTCAGGAGGAACGTCAAGTGTCGCTCGTCGAAATTGGAACGTCGAGTCCACGATTCGAAACGGCGGCGCGGAACGGATTGACCTCGATCATGCGAGTGCGATTTTTGAGCGAGAGAAGCACCGGAGCGTGCGTTGCCACCGTCGTCGACCCTACGATGAATCGTCGTCGCTCCCCGCGCGCCCTTCCCCCTCGCGCTTCCACGCGGCCGGCGCGGCGGATGCACCGAGTTTCGCCGATCGAACTCGCTACGACGAGTCCTTCAACGTCGCGTCGTCGCGCCGCGCCGCAATCGACGGAATCATTCGGTCGCTATTTTTCCTCGTGTCGAATCGGAGCGGAAGTTAAGGAGCCGTGATTCGCCTCGCTTTTTTCATCCTTCAACGGCGCTCGCAGTCTGACTCTGAGTTTATCGATTTTCTTTTTTCACAATTTAAATCCCTCCTCCACTTTTGTTATTCAATGGCGCTCGTGTCTGATTCAATTGTATCGATCCTTATTTTTCCTCGCGTCGAATATGAATGGAGTATACGAGTTAAATGCCGATACATGTCATTGTTAACCGACATGACTCATAGCAGCGTTGTGTCGACCGTTATTTTCCCTTTATCGAATAGAAAGGATGTAAGCACAAACGGAAATCATCGAAATTTATCAAAGTCTCTCTCGTAAATCCCGAATTAGATGCCCCAGTAGAAATTTTTCTTATATCGAATACAAACGAATAGAAAGTTAAACGACGGGAAAAGACTTCAATTTATTCCTCGTTATCACTTTAACGACACTCATCGAAATTAATTAGTGTTTCTTGAAATTATTCGGACAGGAGGTGATGATTCACATTAAACTGATTAATCGCAAAACAAATTTGTAAGGAAAAAAGAATGAACGAGAAAAAAATTTAGAAAATGTTATTTCTCTTTATAAAAAACATATATATAATATATATACGAATCGCGTTCCTCCACGAGAGCATCGTAATTAACTTCTTCCTTCTCTTCCTTTACTGTCTCGCGCACTCATCAAAACGTCATCCACAGACACGGCAGCATAAAGAGATTTTTCGCGAGGACACAATAGACCTGTCCGTGTCACACTACATTTTTTGCACTTTGCGCACACGAAACGAAAGCTGCGACCGAACGAGAGACGAGCCCTAAAAGCGCGAAGAATATATCGCGATGTTAGCGGACCTGCCGATGAATATTAAGGACATTCCGGATGCGCCGCTCCAGCTTCATTTCGGCACTGCTCGACATGCACATTTCGCTCGCGCTCGCGTCATATCGACCCCTCGACCCCGACGTCTCTACCCACTACTCCGAAATCCGATTCGGAGCGCCGAGGCCCTCCAGCCGAGCAACAGCTCGTAGCGACCCGAACAAAGGATCGCACCCGGGCGAACGGATTTGCCTCTGATAATATATCCTTACGATTTCTAGGCGTCACCAGCGACCCGGAGAAGGCGTCGTCGGAATCGACGGTGCGCCGCCATCTCGGCGAGTCCCTCTCTCTCTCTTTCTCTCCCTTTCTCTCTTCCTCTCTCTCTCTCTGCTTCGTGCGAGAGATAATCGTCCGGACAGGATCTGTCGGTCCTGATTTTTCGCTTTCTCGCACTCGCCGATATCGCAATTTCACGACGCAGACCGCACCGACCGCAATCGACAGTGAGCACTCGCTCGCACGCGATTCCGCGTGATTGTTTTCTGTGTATGAGCGGACACTCACACCGGGGACGCGTACTTGTCACTGCGCGCGTACGCGTGAGCGCATTCGCACTGCACCGCTCGCGCTCGCTTCTCGTTCACGCACTCGAATGCAAGCGTACGCTTTGCGGTCTCGTCGCAGCTCGTCGCCGCGGCTCGTATCCGCCTCGTAACATTGTTGTTGCGGATTATCTCCAGTTATACCTGGCGCTGGTGAAGAAGCTCCGCGAGTTTCGCTTCCGGATGTCGACCACGCCGCGATGCGTGCGTCGCACGCTGTCGTGCTTACTACACCCACACACGTATACACAGGGCACACACACACAGAGCGGCCGCCTTCTCCGTTTAATATATCGCGCGCGTATTAGTCCGATAGTTTCACACGCGGCCCGAGCGAACGAAGAGGCACACACGTGTGCGCAGACACGGACGCGCTCCGTTCCGCGTGCGTGTCCGCTCCCGGATGACGATGACGGCGTGGACGGCGAGGAAACCGGCTGGCGCGCGATGCGACGTGCTCGCCGTGGCCGACTCGAGAGGGCACGCTTCTCTCGTGCTGAAAAATCGGGGAAAATCGATCGTCGACCAGGCGGGGCGCCGACCGAAACGCCGTGGCAGCTGCTCTCGCTTTCTCTCTCTCTTTCTCCTGCCTCCTATCCCCGTCTTTGTTTCTCCCGGGCTCTCTGTATAGTCGGCTTCCTCTCGCACACGGTTGCCGGCTGTCACGATCCCCTCTTCTGCGCGTTTCTCCCGTGACCGCTCCGCTCGTCTCTCTCGCGCAAACGGCGTCTTCTCTTTCTCTCTTGGATCTTTGAATCAGCTGCCTCTGCCGTCCTTCTCTATCTTCAGCTTTCCTCTCTATCCCTTCTTTCGTTCTCACTCTTTCTTTCTCTTTGATAAATTTGTAAAAAGAAGTCTTACACAACTCTAATAAGATTCTTCAATTTTTTTTTTGAATAAATCCTTTTAATGCTAATCTTCCATTGAAAATGTTAAGAAATATTGCACTGCTTGGGAAACTCTCAAGCGCGAGTATCTAACACGAGCATGAGATATTGAGAATCCGTAGATACTGCTGTGAGAATGCACTTTCCTTCGCAACGAAGAAACTTCGGCGTTCACAATGAGATTTCAGATGAGAGTGCGGCTGGAACACGGCTAGAAAGTTGTCAGCGCATAAAAATGCGCAGAGCCATGATGATGATTCAGAACAATGATGAATCACCAGCAGTAGATGCGTTTACATTATCGTACTGCGTTTCAAATATTTCAAAAATAAACAGGTTTTTCGATTTCAAGAATTCGTCGATTCTTTTCTTTTTCGAAACATTTCTTAAAGTTTTATTATAATATTTTAATTATAATATACTCGTTATATGTATTATGTAATTTAATAAATTCATTTCGAATTCGATTCGAACACGGCAGAAATGCCGAGTTCAAGTCTGAGGAGAATGCAAATCTATTATAATAATTATATACTTTCAATATAAATAAATAATGCACAAAGAAATATTTGCGTTCGTATCAGTGAAGAACTCTTGCCTTGCAGCTCCAGCTAAGCCAGCTTTCCACGAATGCTTTATCACAAATGATATCACGTTCTGTTTTACCGTACCCGGGTATTCGCGCTCTTTATCTGTTACTGTACTCGAGATTCCCCGCTAACTTAATTTTACATTCAACTTTATCATTCAGCTTTAGCAAAAAAAAAAAAAAAAAGGTAAAATAATTTTTTTTTCCCCTCTCTACTTACCGCCTTCGTCGGTCATCACTGTTACAGTCGAAGCCGGTCCGTGACCCTCGGGGTTGAATATTTGCAAGGAGACAAGGTACTGCGTAAAGGTATCCAAATTGTGAATACTGTGATTCTGAAAAGCAAAGATAAAAAAAATGTACCTCTATTTTTCATACATATTTTTTTGTAATAACAATGCACTAGAATAATATGTCACGCAACTTACGTCGACAGCAGGATCGCGGATATAAATATTTTTCATTTCTTCATCCGCTTTTTCGCGTCGTCGGTATCCTATGCGATACCCGAGGAACTCGCCGTGTATGGTGTCACGATTCGGCGGTTTCCATGCCAGATAAATAGACGTCGCCGAGGTATTATGAGCTGCGGTGATGGTCGGTTTTCCTTCTGGGACTGCAAACAATCATACATTGTGTAAATCCTCTGAATCCTGAACTTTTGGAGACGAGGGTCTTAAAAATAAACACGCACGGCATCTAATCCTAAAAAAGTATCGCGCAGAAGTATTATCTTTATATTCATAAATATTGTTACGCACAAAAGTTGGCAAAAGTTTTTCGCAGTGATCAGTTTATCCAAATACCTCGTATATCGTATATTCCGCGTGAAAAAATAGAGTTTTATTTCCTCCAGAAAATCTCGGTGAAAATTGCACGTCTCTTATCGGAGTTCCTCGAACAAAACGTACACGCGCTATAGAAATCGATCAATGTACGGGAAAAAAAAGAATCGCTTCTAAAGAACAACGCGCGGCGGTATGACATATCGTAAAAATAATATTTAAAGTTGCTGTTGAACGGCATGGTTGTCGGTCAGAAATCGATAGTTGTGATTGCGTCGAATCGTCGAACACGGGTAAATACGTAACGAATATGGAAAAAAATTAAAACGTAATATTTAACCGGCAATCGCGGATATAAATTTTTAAACTAGCGGGATATCCTCTTGGAAATTTCAAGTCTCTGTATGTATGGAGGGGCCGACGATATAAAATTTCCGCGGATTGTACGTATGTACGTACTGTTGACGCAGGCGCGAATACATTTTTCCTCCTCCCCATCCTAATATTGGATATATATTTTCGTCGAAATCATTCAATCTATGTATGTTAACAATATCTCTTTATACATACGATCGTTTACCAGTGTACGCATCGCTTATTGATCCGCATGGAATTGTTTTCAAAGTTGAATATTTTTAATTCATGTTCGCGAGCGCGTAAACCGCATCTAAATCCGCACACCGATATCGCAATCTCTTTTCTACATAGCAAGTGATACGTTTCTGCGTCATTATAGGAAAACGGAGTCAATGAGACAATTATTCCTACATATAAAAAACACTATAGAAATTTCATCGAGAATCGGATATCACTTTTCCGACGTGTAACACGTTTCATAATAGAAGTTCTGAAAAATAGCATTACATTCCGCATTGTTAAAATAAAAAAACAATTTAATGAATAAGACACTCTGTAATCGGATTTGGTTGCCGGCGAAAAATACTCTTTATTACAGATTAATAGATATTTCGTCGAAAAATTAAATATTATTTTCTTCATACGTTCGCTCCACTCCGAACTGTAATATCTTTCCGCATTATGAGAAAAATTAGCGGCCGATCGGATTATCTCGCATTTAAAAAGTACATCTCGTTGCAGCCAAATATCATTCACATGTACTTTACACATCCGAGAAGCAACACGGTCATTCAGTCTTTATGACGTCGCGACGCACGGCGGGAGAGGGGATGTGGAAAAATGGTCGCGTAATAATTTTAAAGGCGGCGCAATTTGTTTCGGGTTGCCTTATCGCACGCGAAGCGCAAAGGCGGCGGGAGGGCGGAGCAGGTGAGCCGCTCGTTGTCCTTGTCACAGGGGCGAGCGACGGCCGTTCGAAATAATTAGCATCCGCGCGTCACTTCTAAAACACCCAGACCCCGCGCGCTGTCATGAATATCGCGTCGGCACGCTGGCTGACTCGACCGCGCGGGAGTGAGAAATTGTCGCAGAAATAATACCGAGACATTTAATGCGCGTTGTGTGTCAGTCGCCGCTCAGTTAACCCGACCGTCCCATCCGTCGTGTTAATACCTGTGGAAGCGTTAATTGCACGATCGCGCATACTAATGGCGCGTGAGGATAATCGCGCGGCATCAGGCGTGCATTGTGTCGGTAATGGAAAAATAAGAAACTTTCTAATGATGATAATGTTAGTAACTAATTATTTGATTAATTAATATTTGATTCACTTCTCCCCTCGAATCGACATTTGCATTCGAAGCCAAAGCGAGAGAAGCGACTGATAATTTATGCTTAAAAAAAAAAAGACAATTTCACGTTAATTGCATTTTTCTGATAATTCCTACAAATGTTAGAGTAAGAAAAAAAAAATTCCAATATTCTGCGTACACACAGGCGACGTCAAAATAATGCGATCGATTAATCATTGCGCTGCTTGATTACCAGAAGAGATTATAATCTGTCAAAGAGTGATAAGCCGGCAAGCCGATTGGGTATTAGCAGAATAAGTGGAAAGTGATAAGTCTTTTTAAAAGCGGGTCTCCGCTCTCCACTTTCGCCGAGCAATTTAGCGCCACGATAAATGCGGGCTGCACTTTTTTTACTAGCGCTAAATCTGCGTTAACTTATTATTACTCCGTCGGCGCATTTATGACGATAGCTACGCCGGGGTTTTATACCTCGAGCGATATATTATCGAAGTACCAATTTCGCCGTGAACACCGAACCGCTTAATCGCAACAAACCATGTAAACATGGCTAATGCTGCTCCACGTATCGTTATACTATGTATCGTTAATAATAATGTCGTAAAGACGCGAGCGTATTACACAGTTCGACGTGTGGAATTACCCCATTTCGATCCAAATTGATGCCTCGTGTACTCTCATAATTAATTTTAATTTATTTATTTTTCCGCACGATATACGCACTGTATTATTTTTCGCAAATAAAGGTTTCTCGCGATTAAGCGGTTCAGCGCGCTCACGTGCGAAATTCGTATATTTCGATCGTAATATATCGCTCGGAGCATGAAAAATGAATATTACCGTGATAATGATGGGATAGAATCAAGAATCGTGATTTCGAGTCCTCGGACGATTCATCATTTAACCGAGGAGGGACAAAGTATCGTCGTTATGTAATATCAAGGCGGAAAATAAATTACTTCGGTCACTGTGCTATAGAGATTCCTCAGGCTCCATCGCTACGTCGAAACGTGACTCGCGGAAAGGCGCCTTTATTGCATCCACCGAGTCCCTCCACTACTTTATCAACCCCGTCGGAATCGAAAATAGTTCACAGCAGGCAGAAGCTACCGCTCTTTCCCGATTCTCGAGACGACTCTCGCGAATGAACTTGCCCAGCACCCCGACCCATCGGATGTTGCGGCGGCAACAATGCGAGTCCCTCTCTTTCCCTCATTTTCGGTCTCTCTCCTCCGCGTTCTTTCATCCGAGTTTTCGCCCGAGAGAGGCTTCGCTCTCTCAATTTATCCTACGTAGAAATTAACTATGCTGAATGCGTGATGCACATTTAATCGACGAGCAAATTCCTCGGCTGAATCAACCGGCGATTAAGCCTTGAGTCCTTCATTTATCGTTGTTATTACAAGCGGTCGTTAATCTGCCCAACTTGCTCAATATACTGAATTAACAGCGCGGTCACCGACAATGCGTAATCTTCTCGAGTTGGTGCAACCGAAATCAGTGGCGATATAACATCAAACTCTTATAAAGAGAAAAAAATGGAAAAATAGCAATTGGAATTAGAAATTCAGAAAGAAAGCTACCTCTTATTCATGTAAAAAAATTCTCATATAATACTTGAACATGACGATTCGTGTCTGATCGCAGTTACAGCAGGATTGTCACAAAAGTCTTAGAGAGACGTGCTTTTTCACTGACATCGAAGATGTCCGAGAGAAAAAAAAAGAAAAAAAAAAGAAAAAAAAAGAGCGCGACGAACTGTAACCCTCCATAGCCGAGTTCCTGCAATTTTCAGACCAACCCTCGGACTCGTCGGTGCGAATGAACTTACCAGGACGACGCAGTGCCGACGGGTGTCCCGATAGCTAATTGGTAGCTCGGTTGCGCTGTATATTTATGGCGAGAGCGAGCGAACGAGGTCCGGAAATGGGCACGAGAAGCGGTGGTGCCGTGTACGTATTGAACCCGGCCGCGGAGTAAAGTGGTAGTGGAGAAGTTTCGTCGGTCCGTGCCCTATTGATCCGGGTGCACGGGGGGTGCTTTCATTTGAGCCATCGTGAATTCCCGTGCTGTTGCCGCGCGAGGGAGGCGAGCGGGCGAAATGCGCGAGCGCTACCGCCGACCTACCTATCCGACCGACCGGCCGGCCTACCGCACCGATACCCACGAATTAGAATCACGAATTAGAATCCGGTGGCATAAACCAATGCGCGTCCGGGTCTCCTCTATGTGCGACCGTCCGCCGTTCGTTCGTCGAACCCGCTGCTGCCGCCGCCGCCGCCGCCGCGCTTGCACGAAACGCACGCAACGTGACCCGTCTACGCGTCCTGTCAATATTGACGCATTACTCGACACTCGTACGATCGTTGATGTCGATGTGGGCATATCGACTGCCGCATTCCATTCGTATCCTGCAAACTGAAACGAATCGCGCGTCGCACCACGCCGCACCGACCGACCGACCGCGAAAGGTATCGTTTTTCAGAGAGCGCGCCAACAATGTTTCCTCGTTACAATCTGAAACGTCTGGCGCATAATTAAAAATGAATAAAGGCTGGAAACCAGGTGAGCACGTTTCGACAAACGCGAGAGTATGCCGCGTAAGAAATAAATCTTTTTTATCCACGGTCCCAGAAAAATTACGGACGGAAACAAAAAAAGGAGTAATTTACACCTTCTTCCTTTTTCACATTAATGATGTATTCCCTCTTACGTTTATTTATCTCGCGTGAAAAAAGTATATCTCTTCGTAAGCGACGTAAGAAATGTAGCAGCAGTCGAATGTAGCAAAACTACTTGTTCCTTTTCTCCATATGCTGCGCCGCCGCGTCGATTTCGAGTACATACGATACCCGTTGCATCGGCAACGCGAATATATCGCGACTGCATTTCATCCGCGCGCGCGCGCGTTGTGAACCAGCAACGTGCATCGCACGACGAATGTATCGTTTTTCGATCGCGTTCTGCGTCTCGCGAAAAAGTTTTTTTTTTCATCCCATTTTTAATACGTATAGAAAAATTCGTAGTGTATCGTGTTACTTAACACTGCGCAAAAACTACACACATGTCCCAAAAGTTCGGCAATATTGCATTTCCCAATATATATTCATCAACCGATGATACGCGGTTCGATAGTTATCGGAATCCTAAACCACCGTGAGAAAGCGTACGTGTGGCCGCGGTCACGTAAAAAATTACTTCGATTTTATCGCGGGACGTTATCACGGGACGCTAATTCGGGGCACAACTGATCGGATCGCACGCGCGATATTGCGACGGGAAATTGCGAAAGCGCCAACGTTGATGATACGCCAGTGTAATCGCGCGTAGAACGGGATTCATCGGCCGCCGCCGGGTAATATCGCCGAATTTTTTCCGCCGCGCGGGGCGATGACACGCCACGGGGCGACATTTCGCGGCGTTTAAATTAATTATTGACATCGAGTGTACTCGCGCGTTCACGCGTACACACGTATCAATGTGACGATACTAGGAAGTAACAAGGGGTTCGACAATACGGGTGCGTCTCAATAACCCGGATAATTATTCCCATCTCACGCGCTGGAGCGACGAGCCGCTGCTGCCGCCGCCGCCGCCGCCGCCACCGCCGCCGACGTCGACACGGTTACGTGGTATTTAATAGCATCGGTTTTGTTATACACCGCTCCGCTTTGGAAATAACCGCGGCGCAATCTGGTGCCTCAATTTTTGATGCGAAGCGTCTAGGAAATAGGATCAGGGTGTGAAATGCGAGCGAGTACGTGATGAATCTCGTTGATCCACTACGAGAAGTGCGGGCGCAACAACATAATGAATGAATGAAGAAATCTATATATCTAGGCAATAGTTTATTTAATAATGCAGATAATGTGTGCGTTAATCAAAATAATTATAATATAAAGCTAAATATGACATTGGAATGTTTAGCAATGGCGAACCACTATATTCAAAATATCCAACGACCAAATTTACGCTTTAATTTAAAACTTAATTGGCAAGCTATTAAAATTAATATTATATTATACAATTAATAACTGTATTACTACATAATAATATATAGTGTACTTCCTATAGGGTGTAGTATATTAATATAAATTAATAAATAAATTGAAAATTAAAAGGGTATGTATGTACGCAAGCATGTGTGAGCAATAAATGTGAACACGAAATGCAAGTCTTATTTTTTTATTCTCTAAACAAACTAAATTATAATGAGTTTTATTATATTATCTATAATAAATAGTGTAATATATAATAAAGATCATAACAATATTCATAATATACGTATAAATGCATTGTGATAGCTAATGTCTGAATGCCAGTTTTCAGCAAAACTATTAAATTGAAACATTGTTGAAAATTATATACATAGCATTTATTATAAAATATTTTTCGTAATATTGATTATATATCAAGTGTTAATTGTTTAAATTGATCCTACAAGTATTTTTCGCAAATACTAGATAAATGATCAATGGAGTGTAGAATTAAATTATATAAAACTATAAAAAAACAAAAACAAAGAAAAAATCAATTGCAACAGATCCGAAAAAATTCTGTTCTCATTTATTCATTTGTCCATTAAAATGAATCCGAATTCCACATACGACGGTATATACAATCCACGAGGTATCTAATTCCCGCTGGACCGCGAGTTGACCCTTCGCGCGCGCGAGTAACGCGGTAATTGGGCCTGCGATCAGGACGCGCGGGAATCCAGGTCGGAAAGGGTAGAGCGTGGAGAGGAGATGGTCCACGGTGCCGTGCACGCAAACTTTGTCGTCCGTGGCGCGTATATATACAACTACACGTTACTAGCCACCCCATTGCACGCGGGCGCTCGAGCTCGGTGGAATTTATAGGGCTCGCTTTGCGCGAGGCGGGCGCTCAAGCTATTTTATTACGCGCGGGAGAGCGACGTCGACGACGTCGGTGACGTCGGAAGCGTTGACGTTGTCGCCTGACGGAAGAAGGAAATAGGGAAATAGCGGAGAAAGGAAGAGAGAGAAAGGGGGGGGGTGAGAAAGAAAGGGAACGAGAAAGGGAGATAGAAAGAAGAAAGAGAGAAGGTGAATTATGAAACAAAAGAAAAAGAATAGGCTCGACTCAAGCCTGCTTGTACACTCAGCCGGCTGCCGGCTGCAATTAGCACCCCTTTAGTTAGCCGCTCTGAACGGCTTCTTCTCGCCTCCCCGGATGCCGAGAACTGGCCATGCTCGCGCTCTTAATCCCTACCCAACACTTCCCAACACTCGGACTTTCCTCCTTTCCGTCGGAGTTTCGTCTTCTTCCTCGCCTCGCCGTCAAACGCTTTGTGCCCGCCGGCGCGCTAACGACCGGAGGGTGTCAACCGTTTAATTTAGCATGACGCCTCTCTCAGCGTCATCGTGGTCGACAAACTTCGTTTTGATAACCCGCGGGAGATGTAATTTGGACGATTGAATCGGCTTGGAACGCAGATGTACGCGACGAGAGGACATGCCGTAGCCGATATTGGCCTTCATCCGCAAACTTTACTGTCAGTTTTCTAAAAGACGAGAGCACTTTTGCGACCGCGCGACGGCTTAATTTAGAAATAAATTCTACATAACGCATCGCGTATTTTCTTAATAAAATATTCCAATAAATAAATAACATTAAAATCTAGGGAATAAATTAATTAGAATGATTCATTTTCTATTTACCGAAAAAGTAAGTCTCTCACATTACAATTTCTAATTACGCGCAACGTATATTGCTGTATCAAGACATTAATATATTTATAATACGTTTAATAATTTATAATAATTATATATATACATTTCCCCCTAACAATTATTTTATAATTAAAAATATATATGTTTATAACAATTACATAAGTGTATAAATATTTATGATATATTATTGCGTTTTTGGAAACCATCCAATTAAAATAATAGTTTAATTAATTTGATTAAAGTATAAATGTAATATGTATTATTTATAATACAAACAGAATTTTCGGTGCAGCTGTAATGCTATTTTTATCTCTTATATTCTGCAAAAGAATATATATGCCGCAACAAAATACGTTGCATATGCACACTTGCTGCGATGGCGACCGGTAAAAATGTACCAGTATCGGTCGACTACCCGATAAAAACAAAACAGAAAAAGAGAATTAAAATAGAGAAAACTTACTTTCACGAAGAGTCACCATATAGTAGGATGCTTGACTGGCCTTGCTGCGTCCTAATGCATTTATCGCCGCCACTCGGAAACTGTACACCGTGAACGGCCTTAGATTCTCGACGGTGTAAAACGTTTCGTTGTGCGGCGTTATGATCTCCTTCGTTCCGTTCCATGCACCGTTTTCCCCGATGCTGGAAATAACAAATGCGTCGCATTATGACATTTTCAATTACTTTATTCATATTACAATAAAATTATATATGTACAATTTTCAATTACTATATTCATATTACAGAAAACTTGAAAATCTTTATAGAAAACCTTTATACAAGATTATCCATCTAACATTATTTTATCAAATATCCTTCTCTCCCATCTTTTCTTTCTTTTTTATCTGTGAGAGCAAGCATCGTGGTTGTACGATTCTAAGGGGCTCAACGTGATAGCGCATGTCTATACCTGCCTCTTTCGCAAAGTTGCATGAAACTCCCAAAATGCATTAAGAAAATATTTCCGAAAGTAACGTTCGCTGGGGCATTCTATGTATGAGACGAAGGCCAACTTCTGTGAAAGATATTCAAATTTGTAACTAACCGCGTTCCCAGATGCGCGATTCTTGTGCTAACGCAGCGCATGTTCTTAGTCTCTCAATCTCATTTCAGTATTTTAGTCGCAAAGCATAGAAAGCAGCCGATTCTAATGGTAAATAATCAGAATTATCTAGATTCTTTTACACAGGCTGATAATATTAAAATATACGGCTATAATTTACAAATATACTTCGCGAGCAAGATTAAATATAAAATAAATAAGACTCCGGAATATTTATGACGCGTGAAAATATGTTGAAGAATAAAGATACATCATGCGATACAAGTATAAAATTTCTTTAAATTTTGAAACTGTCAAGGATGGGCTAAAACTTTAGACATGATCTAGGCAATTTCCAAGATCACTTTCAAAATTTACACATGAAAGACGTGGGTCTCTCAGGAATTCACCTGCGTCATGCGAAAGCACGGAAAGTTAAGCGATCACGTGATCGAATTTTAGATCGCTATTTCGGCATTTCTCGCGTCGTACTTGGTTCTCAAATGAATATCGAGTAGCTCGAATAGTTTAATTACACATTAATAATATTTTAATAAACAGTTCTGCCGCTAAAAAACATTTTTGCGCAACTGACAATTAAGCGCCATTTCGGCGTTTTTCGCATCGTAATTTGTCAAAAAACGAGTTAAATCATTTATATAAATCTTCAAACAATTCAATCTTTTATTATAAAAATGTATATACCGGCACAAACACAGACGAATTTTACATACAAATGAATATCGACAATGCCGAATCTACTGACGGGCGATCATCGGTGCATTAGTATACGCATGCGACTGCATTTAATCGCGTATCTGAATATTCGCGATCGGTGTCCGCCGTTTCGCGTTCTGTGGGAGCCATGTCCGTCGGTAGAATCCATTATCTAATACGCGTGTCTCGCGGCATTCGCTCATTCGACGAGCTTCTCGAGTGCCATTCAGCCTCGGAGCATCGAGGAGCATTGAGAAGAGCATCGAGGGATCGTTATAATGGATTAATTAAGACAGCTGATCCCGCTTGTCTCTAGGAGATCCATTCGCGCAACGGTCGTCGTCATGTCGACATGTCGCGAGAGTCCTCGGAATTTTCATGCGATCACACACCTTCGTACTCACGACAGATCGAGAGTGGCGAATGCGTCAACGAATTATCGTTGTGATGCATTAAAGAGTCTGCGCAATTATGACGAAACGCATTTCTCGACATTCGCAATCGATTGCAATTTATCGGATCAATATCCATGAAAAATTAATTAACTTTCTAATAAACGCATGTCGCATTATTCGCCAGCGTGATAAAGTAGCGGGAGCGGCGAATAAATCTACGGGCGATCGTTTCGGTGCGTCAATTAATCCGCGTAATTACAATCAAACGCGGTTCTCAATATCGGATCGTCGTTTATCAAAAGAATTTGTTTACAAATACGCGTTTATAAATTTTGAATTATTCGATATGCATCGCGAATGTATCAAGAGTATCGTGAAATTAAAAAAGGCAGATGATCATTATTCGTCCGCGAATGCTCAACTGTCGCGTGCAGCATCCACTTCTGGAATTTTCCTTCGTAGCGTAGAATAAAATCAATGAATATTTTCTTAAATTCCGCAAAATTGTGAGAGTGAAAAAGCTGGACGTAATAAACTGCTGGCGAAATTAATGTCGGAGAATTTACACGCGAAATAATTACGACTTCCTCGGAATGTGTGTCGAGTAGTGTAATTCTCGGAGACTAATTAGCGGTCGAAGACGCAGCGTGCCAGCACGGCGGGCGGGAGATTTTATCGTCTCCGAATTGCATATCTGCGTTTTGCAGTAATTAATATAGATTATTAATCGTAGCGCGATCTGTTACAGGAAAGTTTCCGCGCAGTTGCGGTTCAAATAATTGCCACAGTTTGCATTCGCGAGGGTCGGTTCGATCCACCGGTATTGTGCGTACGAAGTCGCGTTACATACATAAGCGCGCGCGCACACACATAAACATAATGTATTTGTCACGTACAGCGAATTGCGGTTATCTCTCGGTACACTGGCGACGTTAATTTTCCAAGTATTTTGCCGGTCCCTTATTTTTCATCAGCATAATCTTGCAGCGGCGATAAAATACCATTTATTCACGGTTTATCCGCGGTTTATCTTTCTCTAGTGTATTAAAGTAACCCACTCGGTTTCGCAGCTACATCAGATAGCGGAAAATAGTTTTCTTTAGCCGAGGGGAAAACACGGGGAGTTACATTTTCACTGTTCTTCAACGAATACGTTTAGCGATTCGATTGTAAGTTTCATTTAGCTTATCGCCGGGATCGCGCTCAAAAGCAACATAATGACGAGAATCGCCGCATTTAGTCGTTGTAATACACGCGGCAAGAGAATACACGTCATACGTGAGCCGGCGAGGCGAATTACAATAGAAGTGAAGAATGAAGAATTACGTTACACGCGCGCGCGCGCGCATATTGCAGCTGTGTCCCCGCGTATCAATAGCACATATATTCACTGTACCTCCTGCCGGCGCTATGCTATGTTCAACATCCCTCTATAGGGCGCAACCAATTTACCGCCGACAAACCCCTATCGCCAATTTGCCACTGTGAGATAAGGGAATGATCCAGCAATTAAATACAAAAATGACCTGACGCGTCTGTTTTTTATTTGCGCTATTTTTGCGCTCGGAAGCTCAGCGCGGAAAAGCAATCGACGACTTGTATCCAATTAACGTATTCGTGTCATTGCGCCGTGCGGCAAATTCGTTTGAATTCTCGATACATATATTTTGTACGAAAAATGCGCTCGCTACAGGTGCGAGACATGGATTTAAACGAGTAAATGACATCCGCATTTAACGATTCGGATCCTCACGCTCTCGCGACGAATTAGAGTGGAATTCAAGAGGCATTGTCTTTTTCATTCTCAGAAAGTCGCGCTTACGCAAACATCGCGAAGACTTAATTTAGCCGAGGAAAATGCATGCGGCCTATTAAATTTCTATCCCGAAGAGAAACAACTTTCTTATCAGGGCTTGCGGGAGTAATTGATTGTTTCAGTTCTTCATCTTGATTTTTTTCTATCGAGCGAAAGAAGCGCGCGCGAGTCCGTACTTCCTTTTCGCAAGAGAAACGTATTTCAAGAAACTCGGAGCAATTAATTATTCGCTCGTTCGCGAATGAAAAACAATTTCGCGGCGTCGATTTCTTTTGACTTCTCCGCGCGAATCGCACTCCCAATACACAAATGAAGATACACTTTTTTTCTAAAATAATCCCGAATACGTTAACTTTGTAATTTTGGAACTTTTACCTCGTAAAAGATAACGTATAAATTATTAAAGCCGCGAGTCTGTGAAAGCAATTCAGTCTTGAATTATCGAAAATACCTATAAACAGGATATTCCACTTTTGCCACATCACTTATTAATGGAAAGTTCTTTGACTGTCTGTTAAATCTCTTTTCAAAGCCGATTTTTCCGCAGCAAAGATGCCGGAAAAGGTCATTACAGCTTTCTAATTACATATTAACAAATATTTGATCGCCACATTCTATAATTTAATTTAACGCAAGGTTATTTTCATCACTTGTTCACAAAGTAATCAATTTCTCGATTTTTTTATAAACATATCAACATGTTCGCTAAAAAAATAGAGCATTCGAAAATATTACAGTGCAAGTAGAACACAATGTATCGATATCTGTGTATACATAGCTTTTGAATAGTTATTTTTACGCGTAAACTTTATACGCCGGCTGGCATATTAATTCCCAAAGATGCATACAATAACAGGACAGGATAGAGTCCATTGTCGAGGGGATATAAAAAGGGGCTCGTGAGGATTCAGGATGGAACAATGAAAACTTTAGTTTTGGGAAAACCTAAATCCATCTCCGACACGAAAAGAAAGAGCCTATCAAAACTTTCGGTACGGGTCCTTCATAATTCCAGGTCTATTGTGTGTGTGTGCCAGTGCAATCCCGATAAATCCCCAACATCGGGGATCCTGGCCAAACAACCGCGCGCATTTCGCTAGGTGCGCGTTGACATGCGTTTCGTGCATAATATCGAACTGTCGAGCGAACCGAATCCACCCGCATCCGCACCCGTGACGGCAATTGGTAGCGAATATCAAATTTTCAGCAATCTTTCGAACCGGATTACCCAACGGAATTCGACTCACGCTCCGCAAATATTTAAGCACGGAGGAAAAAATATATCCACTTTTCCCTCCCGTGTGAGAATTTCCAGTGAGACAAAAGACGCCACTCGTTTTCGAGGAATTACTGCTTATTATCTTTTTAAGATTTATTGCATCGCCAGTCGCGAGATGAGTTGGGAACTTTGATAACAAAAGTTGATAATAAAGTTTCGCCAAAGTTCGGTGTATAAAAAAAAACGAGAAAAGAGAAACAGAGAGGAAACTTCGCAAAAGCAACGCCGGAAAAATTGAAGCATCTTAGGAAGCCGCGGCGCGCACTCTATAATAATTGATTTCTCGCATTCGACGACGATGGAGCGTACGCCGTAATGCGTTAAAGGAATTGATATATTGTCTCGATAAATCAATTCCTGAACCGTTCGCCCGTCCGTCCGCTTCAGATTGTC